ACCAGCCGTGGTATGCCAACGCCCAAAAAAAAAAAAAATTAAGTAAACTTTTATTCTTTTTTTCTTTGTTTCGTTCTATTATATTGCTATGAAAGATACACTATTTTTCTTTGAATGAGATGGTTACAAAGAAATCTAGGCGGGAACTGCTGTTTACCCTGGAGCGTTACCACCCGGATAGGTACACACTCCTTCATACCTCAGAAACAGTTTCAAAATACCACATCGAAAATGACACATTTTTATAGATCAAAAAAAGACAATATTTAAGCTCATAACACTGACGAGAAAAATAACCCAAATTTTTTTATGATAATAAGAAAAAACTGTGGATATAATTTAAAACCCAAAAATTGTTAAAACATGGTAAGTAACCAGGGGATTACACAACATAGAGTATACTCTGACAACATTAAACCTAATGCACTTCAATAAAACCAAAAAAAAATTTCTCGTAGTATGAGGAAACCCCTAAAATTAAACCGCTCCTTTAAAATTAGAATTATTTTCGACGAAACCAAACTAAAGATATTGGCTGTCATGAAAATCAGATTACTCATAAAGCTGGCAATTTACCTTTTTCCTAAAGAAAAAACAGAACACGTGATAAATAAAGGGGTTTTTAAGATTTTCAATACAAGATAAAAAACCAAAAACGATTACTAAGCTCATTGCACAAAAATTTTTACTTGTCATGTGTTATGCAATCGTAGAACAAAGACATTACTAAGGTGTAGCTATTAAAGAACTGAAGCCTTAAATGCACTTTGAAATAGTTGACGCAAATAACTTAGATAATGAAAAAACTATCACAACTACCTGGGATTTCATTTAAATTAAACACTCAATTTAAAGCGAGACTGCAAGAAATTTTAAAACATATAAGACATTGCCCTTTTTATATCATTTCTCATACTACTCCTTACCAAGGTCAAAAATTAAGAAAATAATCTATACGTTAGTATAACTAGGATTTTACTTACTAGGTTGCAAAAAATAGTTTACATGCATTTAGCACAAGAAATTTGATTGTAAGCATAAACAACTGCCTATAAAAAAACCTTCCGATATAACAATAAAAAAAGAAACCGTTTTTTTAAAGTTTATGTTGCTATTGTGCAGCTTAATAGAATCAGCTAGTCCTTTTTTTCAAAGACTTATTTAACAGGCTATAATAAAATTAAATTAATAACGCATATTCTCTTTCATGAAACTATCATAGGTAATTATATTAATGACTACATAAAAGTTGGAGTTCAGGAAAGATTACTTTCCGCTTTATAAGAAGGTATATAGTATGAGAGTATGCAACACATAGTATACAAGGAAGACTCTTAATGGATAACACCCAAAGACTATCTTTGCCCGCCTGTACTAAATTTAAACCTTCCACTGATGGAGACACTAACATTCGTATTATAATATAATTGGCTCTCAACGGAAAAGTTCTGATAGCCCTAGACTTGGGATCTTAAATGCATCATCTGTGCTAAATCAAATTCTCCACTGCAATAATGAAGAACATATGAAAGTTGCTATTAGACACTAAACTACCTATATCAAACAAAAAAACTTCTACTCTATATAAAATGTAATGTCTCCCTGACAGTAGTTTGCTAGTCGAGTGCAGCTCTAATTCTTTTAGACAACTGTAGAACTACCTTGTGTTACATTAACAACCCTCCAGTGCAATGGGCACTGGACCTATAGACAAGACAAGAAAATTAATGTTTTCTTTTGAAAACGGATGACGTCTCGAATACACCAGCTCTGAAAATTGTATTTAGAAATTTTACCATATTTTGAATTTAACAAGAAGTTTTATAGGGATAACGGAAAAGTAAAAGGTATGGTGATATGTGTCTCTTCATATAAGAAGGTAAGGCATATTGACATTGCGCATCACTTTATACATAAAAGATGAGCTTTCGGGGAAGGCCTACAAAATTACTCTCGAGTTATAAACATAACCTCGAAATCAACTTTGTTAAAGACTTAATTGTATAGAGGTTAAACGCCACCAATAACCTAGATATAAATTTGTTTATAGTGTAAGGGAAGTGTTTAAAGCAGTTCATATGTAATTCATAAGTTTGACTCGCGCACCAGTTGCGGTTGCAGTTTTATTTTTCTCTGTTTGTTGTACAATCGGGTTTGGGGCCCCAGGAGGATCTATAATAATCAAATAAATTTTTAGCCTTTTCAAGTACTTCAACTTACTTTTAAATCATTTTACTGTCTACACTACACCTTATATTACTTAATATAATATTACTTTTCTGGTTATAATATATAAGTTCTCGAAGGCGTACAGCATGCAAAACCAACAGAGAATATTTCCGAACATTTCTAATATTTTTTAGAAATATCTTATCTAAATTTATATATAAGCCATACAAACTGAAATGAAGACAATCACTACTCTTTAAATTTATTGTTTTGTTAACGTACTGGTGGCCTCTACTATTGCACACGTGAATGCTTTAACCGGCGAAATTCACCTCAAGTTATATCACAAGATTAATACAAGGAATTACAATTATTATCGTAGAAAGTGTATTAGGAAAAACATTAATTACGATGTTATTATTGTAGATTACTGGCTCTCTGAGAAAAGCCCGCTTGATTCCTTAACGAAGAACCTTTAAATTATTGGTGTTGCTATATTCATCCGGTTTCTAATGGATATACAGATAATTTTAAAAACTTCCCAACATGAAATTAAATACCGCTGATCAAGACACCATTTTTCGTACGTCGAAATTTTTTTGCTGCCAAAGATCATTTTGCGAAATATTTTTCTAGTAAGTCTACCAGCATTGATGACCAGCTGTTGCTCGAGAGCTATACCATTATTGATTTTCGTAAACTATCCATCTGTTACTGAAAGGTTTTCCTAATGTTCTCGATGTATTTATTTTTAAAATATATCTTCAGAATACTCTATTATTACGTGCACGCTCTGGTATCCACTCATAATCCGTAATTCTAAAATTTCTCATTGCCCTGGTTAATTACCTTAATTAATCTTAACAGAAATAAATAAGTCACGATTATATAATATTTTTAATGTAGATGTAAATGCTGCGAATGAGAATTATTAATTGTCAAAACACTCTCTATCACGAAGATTACTTCGGAAATAATTTTTTTTTAACTAAGGAGACTACATAACAAAAGTCTTCTTCACAAGTCTTTATTTACTTGTGTTATAACAACCTTAGGGGAAGTAACTAGAGCAAATCATGCCAATCAAAGGCAAGAGCATGGGCATTCGCACAGGACTCGCCCTCTTAAAACTAAGATAGTCTAATTATATCATAATCCTTAAAAATCTGAAACCTTTACAAAAACCATCTTTTAAAAATTTATAATTTTAAAATGGAAATGTGTCCAAGTGAATCAACTGTGATAAGAATGGCCACTTAGATTACAAGTTATTTGAAAAGGAATCCATCCTCCTGTCTTCCCTCGGTAACGGTAGATGCTGTAAACGAGATGATAATTATAAAGCTTGACATTAAAAAGGCTTCAGATTCGAATAATATTCTTGTTTACCTTGGCACTGTAGCCATTTTTTTAAAAAACTTAGTTATTTCTACTCTGAAATTAACTATTTCGCAATCTTTGAAAATTTACTATTGGTAAACTTGTCCTAAAACATCATGACCTTTACAATGTGTAGTCAACTATTGAACTACTGGTTTCCTATATTTAATAGGAAACGTTTTGAAAGCGAGTTAGTGTTACATTAATTAATTATCTACTCGCCATATAGCTCAACAAGAATAACACGAATATGGTAAAACTCGCACATCTACCGCAACAGGTTCGAGTCCTAGTGGAAGTTAAGAAAGATTTGACATAATGAAGCATTTTAAGTTATTGTAGAAGGTAAATACTCTTAACTTAATATTATATTTTGAACAAATGGAATATTGGTTTTTAATGTGAAATTCCCTTATCATTCTTAGTTGGCATGTGCTCAACTGTTCCACAGGGTTTAAACCCTATGTTCTTTTCAACTTACATGTCCGATTTTTTGACATCAGACCATTGAACTCGTGCTTATGCAAATGATGTAGCAATATTTTCATCCTTAGAACTTAAATTGGTTGACTTTCTATCACAGAGTTGTCGTCTAAATATAGAAAAATGGTACAATACCTAGAAAGTTAAGGTTAACGTTTCTAGGATTAAAAATCATTCACCTTTATAAACAAGCGTAAATCACAGGACAAAAGGTTGCCTATCCGCAATATCGAAATTTCCTGATATTCTGAGATTAGGTACTTTGGAGTAGTAATAGATACTAAACTAGAATATAGTAAGCATCTTAACTATATTATTAAAAAAGCAAAGTTGTGAGGTTATTAGTTAACTGTCTCTTTTTTTTCTCCCACTTGGGAGGTTCTTTTTGTTCTAATCTAATAGAACAAGATAATTAACAATTATATAGTGTTAGTTAGTTTGATCCTTCTAAAGTAGAACTTGTTCCATTCTTTCGGGGTTACTGTTACTTTCAAGATAGCAGGTTTATCAAATTCCGATCCTTCGCATAGTAACAGGCTCCATGAATTATATCAAATATATAGCTACGTTGTGATCTAAAGCTTCCTACGAGAAGAAATACAATAAACCAATAACTTAAGAAACTTTTGCCAAAAGAGTGAATACCAGAACTCTAATAGAAAGGGCTACAAATTTCGACTCTAACTTAGAAGAACCTTCGTCCTCGAAATCTACTACCGAGCTGAGCCTCATGAAGCCCTCTTTAAGGAACACTTGTTTAAACCAAATCTATACATATGTACATACATAAGGTGAGGAAGTAGCAAAAAGCTATAGGTAGTTTGGCTACATATTGCTATTGCGATAAAGAAATCAGAAAATAAAACTATAGTTAAGGTAAAAATGTTGCCCCACCACATGATTTTATTTTACTTATACTAACTTGGCTTAATCTCTGAACTATATCCTTTTCGGTGGAGAGGATGATGCTTACCTTTTTTGCAAGCTAAACTCAATAAAGAAATAGCTTGCGTTCTTAAAAAGTTTTTAATTTTAAGTTCGTTTTTTATCTGCTCTTAAACCAACCTTAACCAAGAAAAAAAATTTTTTTTAGCAATGGAAACACCTGAAGATTTTGAGGCTACCCGTTCTTTGAGGAAAAGACGCGCAATAAAGTTTTCAAGTTTCTATTTTAATTCTCTGTTGTTTATAGTATGTGTCTCATTTTGTTTTTTAGAATCTCAGCCTAGTTGTTCGCATTATGTCGGTTACGTAGAGGACGGAGAGAGTGTTTCCTCTATAATGAAAAAGTTTGAAGAACTTGAGAAATATAAGGAACAGTTAGCATTAAATAAGTAACACTGTTTTTTAGAGTTATTATAATATTGGTGTTATACTCTAAATTTACTTACTTATTTTTGAAGAGCTTTTTAATGATTTGCCCTATTTTTATCTCATAGATGACAGTTAATTTTTAATATTCATAAAATATAAGTGATAAGCATAACCTTCAAACTATTGAAAATACTGAAACTCATTCTCTACCCGCTTCTAACGAAAAAATTTTAACTGAGGAGCAACTTGAAGAAATTTTTAAAAGGACCTCAATGTTTAGCGCTAAGTCTATTATTAATAGTTAGTATTTTCCTTAAATTTTTATTAAAAAAAAATATATCGGTTATTGAATTTTTTTTATCTCGCCTTTTACCTGGGAATTAATTTTATTATAATTCCTTGTTATTAAAGATAATGCAGTTATTTTTGACTCCTGGCTGAGCGAAGACGAGGATTTAATAATAGAAGCTCTGGAGCTGCCTAACGAATCGGATTATGATAATGATAGGTACTTTTATCATACTAGTTATTGTTAAAGTTCGATGTAATATATAAATATATATAAAAAATTTTATATAATATATAGTGATTATAGCGAGGATGAAGATTTATGGGACGAAGATTACATTTCATGTATAATTTTTCCGTCTTATTTATCTCTATCATTAAAGCGACTACTAAAACAGATCGCAAGAAAAGGAAAAACAGAGTTAATAAAGGCCTTTTATATGACAAGAAAGAGAAACGAAAACTGTTAAGAACACAAGTGAGCGTCACTGCATTTAATAAATTTAAGTCCTTTTTTTTAAAACGTGAAGGCAGTACTTATTAGAACGCTCGCATCTTCTTACTGGAGGACAGCGAGCTGCTATCAAGCGTAGAGAGAGGTGCTTATTTTCTATTATAATTATTCTCTAAGCTATGTAAAATCTTCAAAAAAGATTTGTAGATCCTCGACGGCCTACTTACGTGCGCCTTCCGGAGATCCCTTTGCCGCTTTCTTGGTGTCCGACTATTGAGCCGCTACAGGACAAAAGCCTGCAACTCCCTCTCTGTACTCGGTAGTTTTTTTTTTTAATTTTTGTTTATAGTTTTATAGTTATTAGTTATATATGGAATACAGCTACTACGAACTTGATCTCCACAATAATATTGGTATACACCTTTATTGCTTCCACATAAGGAGCTATTTGAGCGTCCTATTTTTGCAGATCGTCTTCATGAACTTCTCCATCCAGAACGTTTTGTTTGTATATATATGGATCCTCCGCTTTCTGACGATCTTGATAAATCTGGAAACACTATAACTGTGGCCCACTTGGTTGGAACTGTTTGTTATAAATAGTCACCTCGTTTATTTTTTTTTAAAATTTTTTTAACAAAAAAACTCTGTGTTTCTCAGGAACGTATGAGACTTGACAAACTTTTGGACACTGGCTTTATTTTTATTTGGCTCGAAAAGCAATTCGTTGTGCAAATTTTCAGTAACAGCCTTATTATTGATCTTATTTGGCATAATTTTTTTTTATTCTAAAGATCTCATGGCCCGTTGGAACTTCCGTTACGTAGAAAACATTTGTTGGTTGATGAAAACAATCGACAACAAAATCCACAAGGAGCCGGCCCCCTACTTGTTAAAAAGCAAACTCACGTGTTACATCTTCAGAAAGGTTTTACTGTATTTCAAGTTCAAAAGCGCTACTCTTATAGAATTGCCGGGTTTTGCGTAGATCGACCGAGAAATTGAACTTCGCCATCAGCGCAATTGCGATGTGGTTATCGACTTTGTTCAGCCTATCCTTGGGGGGTCTCCTCGCACTGGTGGGTCTCTGTAGAAAATTTTTGTTTCGATTTTTTTTAATCATTTTAAAAAGACTACAGAAAGTGCTACCGGCCAGATCACTACTTGTATGCCACAATCGAAACGCTTCTGCCTGACGCCCGCTGTGCGTGCAATCGCCAAACCAACACTCCACGTGTCCACGTCGGACAATGCCTCGAGCTGTTTGTTCTTTACTGCTTAATTATTTTTTCTGAGTAATGAACTAATTGCATTAGATGGTCTAGAAAAAAATCCTATAGACAAGGCTGGACATCCGTAGCTTATATAAAGGAGACGTAATTCTGTAGCTTTTCACACTTCATTAGTTAAAAAAAAATTATTATAATCTCTTCTGCATTAGTACAGTATATCGAATAAATAGTTATCCCTTTTATGTAAAAAAAAATCAATTGTTTTTTCATTGCAGTTTTTGAGGCTTACTGCGGTAACGAGAACTTTAAGCACTTAACAATTTTTGATTGTGATTTGTAAATACTTTTCAAAGGTTAAAAGCGCTTTGTTACTTTTCAATAGAGATCTTGCTCCTCCTTATTATAACGTGCAAGGCTAGGAAGAAGCCAAGGGGGAAAAAAAGGTCGCCGCCTTAATTACAACAATTAATGTGTGCTTAAGTAAGTATAAATATTCAAGATTAAAAGGTTTAAACTCCTTAAAATCGAAATTGAATAAAGATAAGTTCATTAAAAACACAATATGTTATAATAAAAAATATATTGAGTTGAGCGCTTCAGTAACCGTTTATAAAATTTTAGGCTTGATTTTTAAGTAATAAGATTTTATGAAGGCTCAAACTTCTTAAAAGCTAACTTTTAACTAAACTAAATTAAAAAGTGCACTACTCCAATGAATATATAATAATCCCACTTAGTTGGTTTCTTCTCATGAAAGACTAAATAAAATAAAGCTATATTATAAAAACTACTTTCTTTCTCTGCTATAATCCTGAGTGTTTATAAAGTTTACTTTAATGTGTATGATAAAGACGTTAATCTTTTCAACCGATAACTATAAAACGTTTTAGTTAATAAAATTTTTAGCAGAAAGCTTAGCAATAATATTTCTTCATTTATAAAGCAAAAAAGCGAGCAATCCTTAAAGCTTTGAAAGAAGTAACTCGATCCTGTGTCTGTCGCAGAGAGGAACTCAGTGAAATATAAAACTAATGTTTTTTAAAATATTTCTAACTTCATAATGGGCTGCCCCTTCTTATTTTTCTGTCTAAATTTCTTGCTTAGTTCTCTTCTTTTCTTCATATACAGTTCTTTTTCCTTCTTGTTCTTTAAAAAATTTTTATGTCTTTTCTATAAAGATGTATTTGGTAAACAAATAAAGTAACAACAAAAAAGACAAACCTCCTTTTCTATACAAGCTTTAAGTTTTTCTTTCTCATATTGTTTTTTAACTTTTCGAAAAGGATCGCTCAGTGACACTTTATTGGGCGGACGCCCACCTCTATTAAAACCGTTAAAAACTACATTTTCTTTAGTAAGAGAACCAGGAAGGTTTTTAGCCGAAACTGAAGTGCCAAAATTGTTAGCCTCAGTAGAAAAGGAAAAGTTTAATATTTAAACTGTAAACGTACTTCGAAAAATAAAATGTTTAAAGTAAAACTAGATAAAGGTCTACCTCTCTTTCCGATGGTTCGGGAATAATTCTTTGGTCAATATGTTTATTTTTCTTTTTTAATTTATTATAGTCCTGAACATTTTTTTCCTTGTAAATATATTCGCATAAACACGAACGAAATTATTAAACTGGGTAAAACCTTGTTAGGTATACGAGGAGACTGTGCCATGAAAAAAAGTAATAATATTTTTTTTTTTACTAATTTGTAACGATATGTTAATTGATTCTCCTCCACTGTAAGTACAGTAATTAGGCATCATTATGACACGTGATTTCTATTTTTCTTGGTATTCTTTTTTGTTTCTGAACGACGCCCTAGTGAACTCCTGTGAGCTCAATTTTTTAGCGAATACCTCTTTTTATAGCTGTTTACTCTCATAAATACTGCGCCTCAACTCGTTTTGTAATTCTTTCAATTATAGAGTAAAGGTAGGAATGAGAGAAAGAAAGTTTACAGTTTCTTTATGGAATAGTTTCGCAGCAGCGCCAAAGTTTGTAGACTTCTGTTTATTTCAACTTTTATTGGTTCTCAATTATGTCGACAAACTTCAGCTACTTTAAGTTTTTACTTAAATAGTCTTATTTTGATACCCGGATTTTAAAGGGTAAAGCAAAGTACAGATGTTACATTTCAGCGTGGCCGCTGGCTGATAAGCCAACCCGCCTTTGTCTTGTAATAGACTTTTACACCGGACGGGATGAACAATTGTTATGTTTAAAAAGAAATTTTTACTATGTACATCATAATATCTGCGCATTAATGGTAAACAATAAATTGATTAAACTTGTAAACAGTACATTAAAGCCCGTCAGTAACGCATAGCAAAGCTAGGTTTAAATTGCCAAATAAATATGGAAATATGAACCTATCTTGCAAGTAAGCTATAATGACTACGCTTCGCTGTCATCACATATTATACTAATAATACGTTCCTCAATTTTTGTGTGCAACATCAGTTAGGCGCGGAGAAGTAAAGAAAATTTTTTAAAACTGGGAACTATTTATTGAACCAAATACTAAGGAAAAGTTAATTATCTCTTGATAATAGAATTGTAGAATGTAAAGCTTTTGTGTTCATTGTTTATCTACCAATTTTAATTGTACCTTACACTTAATAACGTCGTCTATTAAATTATTGGTCTATTTTCGACAGTCTGGTTTACATTTATTATAGACCGAGGCTATTTTTAGAACTGAGGCTAGACTTCCTTTAAAAAAACTAATCTCACGCGCTCAGTACGATTAATGGCAATTATTTATTTCATACGTTAATCGTTTGTACATGACCTCCCCCATTTAGGGTTACGTCAGGGGTAAAGGTTACGAAAGCATACTGGGCGTACTTATAGTATACAGCGACGAAGATAAGACTCGTTAAAAAAAAGCAAAAAGTGTAGCTCTTTAGAATATCTACGAGAAACTAGAAACTTAAAAGGATTAAAAGATGCAGTTAGTCACTATAATATTAAGAACTTATACTTTATTGAATTAGAAACTTTAGTAGAAAGTATAACTAGTACAACACTTAAAACATAGTGATATATAAGTAAGAATTTTTGAAGCTTGACTAGACATTACAGTAGGTTGAATTAATTCTTGGTAGAATTGTTCTAAGAATATTAAGCATCCGTTAGGCTTCGGGATCAGCGGGCTGTTTTTAAATTTTACTTGTCGTTACAAATTAAAATTACTACTAATGACGGAGAAAGAAAAGCAAAAAACTTAAAAGCTAGTACGTTAAACGAGAAATTTATATTTCTTGTGCTTCATTATATATAAAATTGGTTAGATATTTGTTTAAATGCGTTATACCTTCAAATTATAAAAGGTTTTTAGTGTTTATATTTCTAGTGCGTAAAGTATTCAGTATATACTTATGTTTTTAAAGTGATAAATTTAGAACATTAAGTATTAGTTGGTACAAACAATATTTTGTACAAGGTTTTCAAATTCTTTACATATCTAAGTACGCGAACGTCTGCTTACTGTCTTTGTGGGTTAGCACTTCAGCTATATATTCCACCTTGTATGTAAAACTGTGTATATTTTTGTCGCACTTTGCTTCATAGTAGTCCTTTTGTTGTAGGTGCCCGCCCCCAAAAAAGTCGGAGCATCGTGTCTTTCTAAGATGTATTAAGCGACCTTAGGTATTTATTAACTGCTGCTAGAAAGATTTCGTCATGGTTTTGTAAGTTCTCTTCAGTCGTTAATAATGTCCGAGCGAGTGAAGTTTTGCTATATACCCAAACCTTTCGATAGGGCTGTCATAGTTTATATTAGTTTTAATTAGATTTCTACGGTTTACTAAAAGTTTTTGGCTAGCAGTAAAATATATTTTACTAAATTTTTCTTTTAAAGGCTTTGCCTAGTTGTGCTATAAGAGTTGCATAATTAGTTAGGGGTTCAATTAAGAATTTTTCCATGTCAGAGCATAGGATCTTTCAAAAAGGTATTGTTTATGTCCATATTTTATAGTTTTAGAGATTGCAATAAAACAGCCTTGCTAGTATCAACAACGTCAACCCTAACTACATATTACATATTTATATTTCCCAAGGCCATGTTAATTAAGTAGACAGTCTTGTTGGACTACTTCATTTATGGTTAACTACATACCTTGAAGATTGAATGTGAGTAGAACTTTTAAACTTTGATGTAAGAAAGCTGTGCATAAATAGTCTGGAATTTTGAACAAGTTTTTAATTTGTGCCACAGTTAAATGTAGGTAGTCTGCTTTTATCGAGGATTAAGTAGAATGTTTCACGATTTTCAATATCTTTCTCATCTCTCTACATTAAGTTGGCTCTTATTTATTTCTCGCGCTGACATGCTACAGACGTTATGAGTAAATAACTTAAACTGCCTAACGTACATTCCCCCAGGTGAGAGGGGTCAGAGGTGCTCTCTTCCTGCAAAGATGCTGCCTTCAAAAGCCTTGTCCGGCTTGAAGTGAAAAACTGCTAAAATAGGAACTGCATTATAAGAAATGTTTTTTTTTAGATCATGTGAGTAACTTCACTAACTTTATAATACATAAAAAAATTATCTTAGTAAGCCTACGTCAGTATTAATGTCATACTTACTATCACATGACCATGATATGTTATATCGCATTAATTATTTTACTAATATTATATTAGATATTACCACTAATATATTAATATTATCACCAATTAATGCTATTATCAGGATTACTTTATCAAATTTTAGTAAAAATCTAGCATTTAAAGTTATTAGCGAAGAGAGTTAGGAGGTGTTTCGGTAGCCTATATTTGAGAAAGTGAGAGGAATTATTATAAAGGGAATTTAACAATACCGTGGTCGTTTTGAGAAATTTTCCCGAGTAATTTTTATTTTTTTCTCTCTCCATTAAATTACATATATATATATAGGGATGTAACGCTTAATAAACTTTAACCGCCCCCTCGTGAAGAAAGATGATGGGTCGAGAGTGATGGAGATAGAGGTACGCTTTTCGCCAATGTTTCTGCTATTCAAAACGTGCCAGGTGCTCACTATACTGCTAATGAAGATGTGTTCCCTCAGCTGAGTTTACCCCCTCCCCGTTAACTACGAACCACTTAATCTAGATAATAATTGACGAGATGCAAGCAATTGTCGGAGCGGTGCCTAAAAGAAAAGCGCCTGGCCCCGATGGCATCGCTAATGAGGCGTCGAAGAAAATGCACTAATAGGGTGCGCTATCTTCACCTCCTTATAAAACCTTCGATGCTTCTTGGTGCCTTTCCGATTCGATGGAAGAGGGCGACTGTTGTGATGCTACTAAAAACACATAAACTGGAATCAGCATCTAGCAAGTACCGGCCCATCAGCCTACTGTCATAAACCGGCAAAGTGGGTGAGGCCGTTTTACTAAGCCGCCTTAGAGGTAGTTGATGCACGGAACACTTTACCGGAGATCCACTTTGTATTTCGGCAAGGGTACTCAACGGCTCACCAGCTCCTCCGCTTAACTGAAATGAACTACTCGCACTTTTACCATAAGAAGGCAGCAGGCGCTGTTTCCCTTGACGTTGAAAAGGCATTTGATCAAATTTGGCATGATGGTCTGCTGCACAAATTGTGCTCGTTATTCTTCCCTCATTACCTTTGTAACATGCTAAATTCCTATATCTGAATGGTCGCGTCTTCAGCTTGCGCGTAGGGGATACCCGGTCGCCCCTTCGATCTTTGAGAGCAGGGGCCCCATAGGGATCACTTCTCTCGCCCCTTTTATTTACAATTTACATGAGCGACGTGCCCTTGCCGTCTGACCCACATACACGAACCGCCCTCTACGCTGATAAACGACCGTATATTCCTCTTCGAATTCTCCCTCCTTGCTATGCAAACATCTACAACACTATCTTGACGCCCTTGCTGCCTGGTGCCTCGATGGGAAGGTTACTATAAATGCGATGAGGAGCAAAGCTGTATTGATTTCAAAGAAATGCGTCCCTTGGTTAATGCTCTTAATCTTTAACGGCGTTAAGGTTTTATGACGTTCTCAAGCGAAATACTTAGGAGTTAATCGATAACAAATTTCCCCGCGGCCTAAAGTAGGCTATGTAGCGTCGAAGGTCAAGGCAGCAGCCACGGCCCTTTCTCCTTTACTTTAGGGCAAGAGTAAGCTTTCTCTGTGTAACAAACGGCAATTGTATTTGTCTTATCTCCAGTCAATAATGGTCTATCTGCTGCTTGGACCTACGACTCCACTGCGATAACGTCGGCACTTCCAGTGCGACAGAAAAAATTGCTGCGTGTTCTGATAAAGGCGCTGTGGTTCGTGCGAAATGATGCTCTTCACCGGGACTTTCAGCTGTGGACCCTTTAAATATTCTTCGACGCCATGACGTGGCCCTTACGACAGGCTCCCCAGGCACACTAATCGCCTGCTGGT